GTTGCTCCCCTGTCTTCCTCCTTTTCTCCCCTTTCAGAGTTTTCTATATTTGCTTTATAATATCCAGGCTTTCTAGCAGGAGGGATAGGAGGAGTGTATTGACTCTACCTTAATCTCTGCAGTATTTTTATATCAATAAATAAGAATTCCACTGGAATTGAGACACAGAGCATACATTTCAGAGGTCTCTAGGGATGCACAGAGTGAACTTCATCAGAGCTTTCTCCAGTAGAAACCCTGCATCTGAGTCATTTTTAAAAAATCAACTTTTGGGAATTTCCTGGTGGTCCAGTGATTAGGAGTCTGCACTTTCACTGCCGAGGGCCTGGGTTCGATATCTGGTCAGGTAACTAAGATCCTATAAGCTGCATGGCATGGCCAAAAAAAAAAAACTTGTTAGGTTTACTATTCATATAATAATGACTGTTTTACATAGACTTAAATGGACTCATTTTAAGACTGCACTTTTACGCATTTTGACAAATATATACACCTACTCAGCCATTACCACCATCAAGCTGGCAAATATTCTGTACTTTCTAAAACCTTCCTTCTGCCCCTTTGCAGGTTTTCTGTCCTAATCTCTGCCCCAGGGAGGTACAAAGATTTTCTCACTGAGGGCTTGGTTTTTGCCTGTTCTCGTCCTTATTTAAATGGAATCTCATAGTACACGTTTTCTGGTCTGGTTTCTTGCATTCACGAAGATGCTTCTAAGACTCATCCATATTGTATGTACTGGGAGTCTTACTTTTTATTTGTGAAGAGTATTCCTCAATCTCTGTATCCATTCACCTCTTGATGGATATTTGTGTTGTTTCCATTTTAGGCCCTTATGAATAAAGGTGATATGAACACTCACGTACGTCTTTTGGTAGATGTGTGTTTCTATTTCTCTTGAATAAACACCTAGCAGTGGAATGAGTGGCTCATATAGTAAGAGTGTATTTAACATTATGAAAGTGCTAAACTGATTTCACAAGTGGCTGCTCGACTTTGCATTATCAACAGTGGTGCATGAGAATCTGATTACTTCACATCCTTGGGCTCTGGCCCTGGTCCCTACCACCTGCACTGATGAGGATCCCTCCGAAGCTAGTTTGGTTTCAGTGTGACGCTCAGCCTTTGGCACTTCTTACTAAAACTAGTCCATGCCCCCACCATCTCAGCTATTTATACTTCCTTCACTGGAGCTAGGAGAGACTCTGGGGTCTTCCCTTGCACAGACCCAGAACCGCTCTTCCCATTTGACTTTGAAAGTCCGGATTTTTTACTCCAAGAAGTCTTTCTCATACCCAAATCCACATGTTTTTCAGCACAAAGGAGTCCTTCTTTAAGGGAAAACTATTACTTCCAGGTGTCCTTAAGAAGTTTAGCCTGAAAGAGATGTAAAAATCATTTGGGGCTTCCCTGGTGGCTCAGGGCTAAAGAATCTGCCTGCCAATGCAGCAGATACGGGTTCAGCCCCTGACCCAGGAAGATCCCACATGCAGTGGAGCAGCCAAGCCCACGTGCCATAACTATTGAGCCTGCGCTCTAGAGCCTGGCAGCTGCAACTACTGAACCCATGGGCCGCAACTACTGAAGCCCGCGTGCCCTAGGGCCTGTGCTCGGCAGCAAGAGAAGCCCCTGCAATGAGAAGCCCATGCTCCACAACCAGAGAAAGCCTGCATGCAGCAGTGAAGACCCAGCACAGCCGAAAATAATCAATGAATAACATTTTAAAAAATCATTTGGAGGTGTACTAGAGACCAGTAGACCAATCAAGTTTCAGTTATCTGGATAGGAGGTAATGTGCAGGATCAATTTGTGCTATTTCCATCCTAGTAGACCTTGAAAGGAGAAGGCAATGGCACCCCACTCCAGTACTCTTGCCTGGAAAATCCCAGGGACGGAGGAGCCTGGTGGGCTGCAGTCCATGGGGTCGAGAAGAGTCGGACACGACTGGGAGACCTCACTTTCACTTTTCACTTTCATGCATTGGAGATGGAAATGGCAACCCACCCCAGTATTCTTGCCTGGAGAATCCCAGGGACGGCGGAGACTGGTGGGCTGCCTTCTATGGGGTCGCACAGAATCGGATACAACTGAAGCGACTTAGCAGCAGCAGCAGCAGCAGATCTTGAAAGATCGACAAGCTACTTAGTTTCAAAATGTGGCTTGCCCCATGGAGCCTATTAATATTAATACAAAATTGTTATTTCATTGCAAACTTGGGGGAAAAAGGTTTTATGCAAAAGAAATATCCATTAATTCCATTAATTCAATTTCAATCAATTTGAAAATAATTTTTATCCTCTCTTGGACTCTTGTGGTGTCTAAGGTGGTTTCAATTCTGTATAGTGGTAGTCATCAGGACATTAAATTTTATTTAGAAAATGCCTCAACCTACCCTACACTGGCTGGTAGTTTTTCCATTTTCTGGTGTTCACCTACTCATTAGACCACCTGCAGGAATCTTTTTCAATTGGTGGCTCAGATGGTAAAGCACCTGCCTGCAATGTGGGAGACCCAGGTTCGATCCCTGGGTTGGGAAGAGCCTCTGGAGAAGGAAATGACAACCCACTCCAGTACTCTTGCCTGGAAAATTCCATGGATGGAGGAGCCTGATAGGCTCCAGTCCATGGGGTTGAAAAGAGTCGGACACAACTGAGCGACTTCACTTGAACGACTTCACTTCCTTCGACAGCCAAGGCAACCAGTCTGTGGACATTTTGGTCAAGACATCACTGCATGAGGCCCAGAGCAGGGGACCAGGTGAATTTAATCCTGTCTGAGCATTAGTTTCCCCATGTTTAGCTTGGGAGTATTTTAAAAAGTACATCTCATGACCTGAATTCCTGTGGATGTACATTACAACCTCAAGATGTCTTCAGAACAGAATGGAAGGTATCTGAGATGGTACTAGATGTTTCCTCCAGGGCAAAATATTTCCCAAAAGGACAATATTCTTACTGGGTGTGGTATCTTGAATTTTTTTTTTTTTTGCTGTGATTCTGTGGAATACAGCAATTTCACAAGAAGAGAAATCACCTGGTGAACTTCCAAGTGAATCAAAGCTGAGTCACAAGGTGTCTATCAAGTGTTATTTACCTCTGGGCTCAGCCTCGGCCCTGACTTGGAGCTGGGCATGAGCAAGCAGGCACGGAGGGTAGAAGTCGTGCCCCCTGGGGTCCACGTGCTGTACGATTCTCACACTTTGAGTGTGGGCAAGACCTTGGGATGTGGTGGGATTTCACTCTTGTCAGGCTAGGTCACATGGCAGAAGGGAAGGGATCTCGCAGATGCATTAATAACTAAGGCCTCTAACTGGTTGCCTGTGCATTAATCAAAAGGGGAGATGATCCTGGCTGAGCCCCACCTGAACAAGTGTGAACACCTCGAAAGGGGGCCTGGGCCTTCTCTGGAAGGAGGGGATACTTGAGCTGAGATATCTTCCTCCTGGCCTGGAAGGAAACAGCATGTCACAATCTGCCTGTAAAGAGGCTCTCGTGGCAGGGACCTCAGGGTGGCTTGTAGTTGTCCGAGGGTGGTGTCCCCCTGACATTCAGCCAGGAAACAGACATAAGGAACTGAGTTCTGCCCATAACTTTAAGAGGCTGGCATTGCCCACTAGCATCTTGATTTCGGCCTGGTTGGCCCCTGATCTGAGGACCTCGCTCCACTGTGCCTGGACTCCAGGCCACAGAAACAGTGTGAGAATAAACATGGGCTGTTTTAAGATGTTCTGGTGCTGGTTTAGTCACCAAGCCATGTCCAACTCTTGCAATCCTATGGACTGTAGCCCTCCAGGCTCCTCTGTCCATGGGATTTCCTAGGCAAGAATACTGGAATGGGTTGCCATTTCCTTCTCCAGGGGATCTGCCTCACCTGGAGATCAAACATGTATCTCTCATGTCTCCTGAATTGCCAGGTGGGTTCTTTACCACCAGCGCCACCTGGGAAGTTGGTGTGCGTAGGTAAGATGCTGGTGTGCGTAGGTAAGATGCTGGTGTGTGTAGGTAAGATGCTGGTGTGTGATAAGAAGCTGAGTGTGTGGTAAGATGCTGAGTGTGTGGTAAATAGTTTCACATCAGTAGAAAATGACTTCAGCAAGTACCAGACATTATTCACATGCCCCCAGCTTTCTGCAAAGCTGCTTTCACCTTGAAGTCACAGTACTGGCACAGACCTTGCCTATATGCAGTAGGGCAGTGATCCAACCTATTGTGAGCTCTAGGAATCTCAGGGAAGCCATGGAGGGTCCCATAGGAGATAAATGAGCCTTGATGTAAGACAGCACTGATTGCTTGTGGAGTCCTAAGCTGTGTCCCAGAGAAGGCAATGGCACCCCACTCCAGTACTCTTGCCTGGAAAATCCCATGGATGCAGGAGCCTGGTAGGCTGTGGTCCACTGGGTCGCGAAGAGTCGGACACGACTGAGTGACTTCACTTTCACTTTTCACTTTTACACACTGGAGAAGGAAATGGCAACCCACTCTATTGTTCTTGCCTGGAGAATCCCAGGGACAGGGGAGCCTGGTGGGCTGCTGTCTATGGGGTCGCACAGAGTCAGACACGACTGAAGTGACTTAGCAGCAAGCTGTGTCCTTTTTTTTTTTTTCCAGCTTATTATAAATGCTCTATTTTTTTTAACACAGAGGAAGCTTGGTGGCAGATCTGTAGCCACTTGATGTTGTTATAACTAATTACAGTTCAGGCTCTCTTATAGAATGTAAGGGTATACTAACACATGTATATGTAATTGTTATGAAAATTTAGCTTAGTCACTAAAAGATTTGTTATCTGAACTTTCTTCTGTGTTTTTTTCACCTTCACCATCAGGCACTGGAGCATCTGGCCTCTCAAGAAGATCTGGGTCTAGTCCTTCCGATATCATTTTGTTTCTTATTGCCATCACTGGAATACCTAGAGGGGATGTACTTTTTGGTCACCTGATCAGATGGAAGATTTAGGTCAAGTTTTCCTGAAACAGGCACTTGAACCATTTTGAGATATCTGGCCTATCTTGGATCCTTGGTTACAGTTAAGATATTTTCTGGTGTTACTTCACTTTCCTGTGGTCCAGAGTCTTGTAAACGGTTCTGCTGTGATTGCTCTGAAGTGGCTTCAGAGTGTGTTCCATTTGTGATCCTAGTGACATTTACAGGAGATACTTCAAATGCGACATCATCTAGGCCCGGGGTTGATGATAACGTTGCATCTAAAATATTGAGAGTTGTTTCAATCTGCTGGATACAAAGAGAAAGTTCTGCTAGTTTCTCCTCACAAACTGTAGAAAAGCGGTTGAGGAACTGTACAGCGTGCACCACAAACTGCTTTAGAAATGCCACCATTCTTTTCTGTTGAACAGCTGGCACCTTAGTCAGGTCTATGCCTGAGCCCATGAGAGGGAGGCCATCCTCATCCATCTCCTCAGCGGGCAGGGAACCCAGGGCTCACCCCCAAACCCCAGCCCGACCCGCCCAACCCGGTAATAGCGTCCGAACGCCTCTCCTCAAGCTGCGTCCTTTTTAAAAAATTATTGTTTTGCTGCGTCGGGTCTTAGTTGCAGAACTCGGGATCTTTCCTTATAGGCTCTCTAGTGTGGTGGCAGACTCAGCAGTGAGAGGTCATGGGCTTAGTTGCTCTGTAGCATGTGAGATCCTAGTTCCTCGACCAGGCATTTAACCCTCTTCCCCTGCATTGCAAGGTGAATTCTCAACCACTGGACCACCGGGGAAGTCCCCTAAATTGTGTGCTTTATGTGTATCCTCTCTAATCTTCCCAACCACACTGCAAGGATGCTGCATGGTTATAATTATTTTCTGACTGAGAAAACTGACGTTTGTAGAGGTGAACGAAGATGCCCAAGGCCATGTAGTTAATGAGCAGAGATATCGAGCTCCGCGGCTGGATCTTGCTGACCCCAAAGCCGGTGACCTTTCGCTTTCCCAATGCTGCTTCCTTTTTTTTTTTCCATATATTTTTATTAGTTGGAGGCTAATTACTTTACATCATTGCAGTGGTTTTTGTCATACATTGAAACGAGTTAGCCATGGATTTACATGTATTCCCCATCCCGGTCCCCCCTCCCACCTCCCTCTCCACCCGATCCCTCTGGGTCTTCCCAGTGCACCAGGCCCGAGCACTTGTCTGTGTCTCACCTCCGCTTTGTCTCTGAGTTCCTAAGAGCCACAGTGTCACTCGACCCCCGAGTGCCCCACTCCGTGGCACGCTCACGCACTTACTCCTTGCTTGGAGCCCAGACTCCCCTTGTGGGTTTTCTTGCTCACAACTGTTTGCTGCTGCCCACATGCAACACCATGGCCTGATGCTCCTAACCTCAGTCCCTCAGCTCGGGCAGCTGTCTGTGTCCTAAAGTAACAGAAAGAAGAATGCAGCTGGATAGAAACTCAAAAGGGAAAGTAAAAATAGAAAATTATGGTGTTTTAAATGTATTGCCAAGAGGCTTCGAAAAACCAGGGTACACAATCCCAGGATAGGGCTTGCCCATTTTCAACCAAATGGATGAACTCTCAACTCTGTAGGGATCCCCCTCTATTCTGAGACTTGTTGACCCTCCTTTAAGTTGGCTTCCTTTAAAAAAAAAAATTTTTTTTTTAATTTATTTGTTTTGACTGTGCTGGGTCTTTGTTGCTGTGTGGACTTTTCTCTAGTTGTGGTCAGCGGGGGCTACTTTCTAGTTGCAGTGCGCGGGCTTCTCATTTTAGTGGATTCTCTTGTTGCAGAGCACAGGCTGTAGGGTGCGTGGGTTTCAGGAGTTGCAGCGTGAGGGTTCAGTAGTTGTGGCCCCAGAGCTCTAGAGCACAGGCTCAACAGTTGAGGCACATAGGCTTAGTTGCTCCATGGCATGTGGGATCTTCCTGGATCAGGGACTGAACCTGTGTCTGCTGCAGTGGCAGGCAGAATCTTTGCCCCTGAGTAAGGTGGCTCCTTCAAGTGACGCGCTGAAGTATAGTTGTGGGTCCTTTGGAGGGCAGGTTCTGGAAAAGTGAGCCTCTGATATACTTGTTCAGATCATTCATAAGGATCTGAGATCTTGTATTCATCTGCTCTTTCCTCCAGCTAACTTGCCCCCACTCAGCCAATAAGAGATTCTTTCCTATCTTCCACTCTTTGACCAAATCCACATACATGTGCTCATTTGGTATCTTGGGAGAAGTGGAACATTTCCTGCCATATCAGTAAACAAAGGATGTCACAGTCATCAGCAATTTCAGCCACCATGGATGGTGGGCCGGTAAGCCCCAAGTAACTCAGGAAGGAAAGAATACCCACCATCTAACAGCTATCAGACTGCAGCCACTCCCTACAGTGAGCCCTGAAGAAACTCAGGTGTGAAAACACAGGATACCTTTCCCAGGTACATACCAGAAGAATGATTTCAGTGAGCCCAGACTCCTGTATCTTCCCATACATAGAAAACTCCTAAACTCCTTAACTTGAGATATCTGGTTTTCTTTAATTAACAACAATCTTTTGATGTTCAGACTACTTGCCTTTTGTTACAAAACTCCTCTGTGATGTGGCTCCCCTCCTTGCCTCCGTGGAACAGTTCTCTAAGGGTCACTTGAGATGCTATCTCCCAGGCTTGGAGTCTTAAAAATTCCCACTGAATAAAACGTAACTCTCAACTTCTAAGTTGTGAATATTTAAGTCCACACTCACAAGGGCAAAGCTATACGTGTCAGGTGCCAGGTGTTTCCTCAACCTGTTTTACAGATGCAGACTCTCTGCTAGACGTCAGTGCGTGCTTTGACGTGTGTTTTTAACTTGGTGTCCTTTGGAGAAGTAAGTTGTCGGCGGGGGGCTGGGGGGGGGTGGTGGACAGTAGAAAGAACAAAACTTGGGAGGCAGTAATCCAAAATTCATGTTCAGGCGCTACCAACCACAGGCTATGTGACCTTAGGCCAGCTGTTTAACATCTTTCCATTATGAAATTTCAACCTCAGTTACAAAATTGAGATGATAATACTCTTTTGTAAGATTTTCATGAGAATTGAGGGAGATAAAGTTTGAAAAGAGCTTGGCACAGAGATTCTGCCTAAGAGTAACTACTAAGTACTTGTGACAAAACCCTCATCCTCACTTCCTTTAACCCTGTCACCACCTCCTACTCCCCCACGTGGAGTTTTTTAGACACAGGTCTTTGTGGCCCCAAGGAGACGTGTCACATTAAGTTCTTGTGTCTTGCTGCTAAACAGTTGAAGGCCAGGTGTAACCCAGAAAGACAAGGTAATCTGCCTCTTCCCTCTCTGCCCTTCCCCACCACCGGGTCCGTGTCCTCCAAGCTGGGGAAGTGGGGAAAGGGTCGGGATGAGACAATGCTGAGGGCCTCTGGGAAGGAGCCCTGCTCTTCAGCCACTTGGATTTGGGGTTCTGCAAATTAGAACAGACTGGCGCCCCACTTTCTGGTTGGATCCCTGAAGGAGAAGTCACCACCCCCCCCCCCCAGCACCCTCCTCACCACGGTCTCTGTAGAAAAGGCTTAAGCAGGTGGGCTGGGGCAGCCTCCTGGATACTCTGCTTGCCCCCACAAGGCTCTGGAAACAGCGTGATAATCTTCCTCTGTGGTGTGAGATGCAATGGACTTTGAGGGGTGATGGGTAGAAGCAGAAAGGTGGTGGTGGTTTAGTTGCTAAGTCGTGTCCAACTCTTGCAACCGCATGGACTTTAGCCTGCCAGGTTCCTCTGTCTATGGGATTTCCCAAGCAAGAATACTGGAGTGGGTTGCCATCTCCTCCTCCAGGGGATCTTCACAACCCAGGGATCAAACCCATATCTCTTGCAGGTGGTCTCCTGAATGAGACGGGCAGATTTTTTTTGCTGACTGAGCCACAGGGAAGGCCAGCATTAGAATATGCCCCGCTAAAAACATACCTCTTTGGCACAGGATTATATTGAGAAACTACAGACAGAGAAGAAGCTCTGAAAACAAAGGAGAAATTACTCTTTTGCAAGAGAAATGTACATTTGCCAAGGATATTTCCACTTGTACCATTGTCTCCCTCTCTGGACCAAGAAGAAAAGGATAAGCCTAGGTCACAAGGGACCCACCATTCATGGAGGAGACAGCCTGAAATCCATAGAACAAAGCTTACCCTGTCTACCTCGCTCTTCCTGGTAACCGCCCCCATAACCAGCCTCCCCTCACTTGTCTTTAGCTGAAGAGGTTTTTTAAGCCAGTCTTTTAGGTCACAACTGGGGAGTTACTCAGTTTTGCTGGGTGTCTCCCATGTACACGTATATTCATAAACTTCTCTGTTTTTTTTTTTTCTCTTTTGAATCTGTCTTTTATTTACAGGGCCCTCAGCCAAGAACTCAAAAGGGTAGAGGGAAAAATGTTTTTTCTCTGTTTCAAGGACGGGGGTGACTGGAACGGGAGGAGGCAAAATGACCGCAGAGCAAATGATAAGAGCTGAAACCCCCATGGGAGTGCAGACACCCTGATGGGTGCCCGAGAAGTGGAGGGGAGGGGGCCAGCCCGATGGGAATGACATGCATCTCAGCAGGACCCGCGGGGCATGGGTGACAAGGGAAGACCAAACATCCCCAGCCCCCTCCTCCCTCCAGGACGGGGCGCTTCACGAACTCCCAGGCAGGGAGGGAGCCCCAAGTTGGCTGGGTTAACTCTGAATGGGTTGAGTTTATCCCAAACACTAGCAAGCAAAAGGGGGGTTCAAGTAACCTGACTTATGAACAGAGTGATAAAAATAGTTCATGTATTGGGACCCTTAAAAGGGGGGGCACCCCAGTGAGCCCACCTATGTCACAGATCTAAAGCTACATCAGCCTGTTCCCAGAAACACCCGTCCAGGAAAACTAACACACCACTCACGATCCTCTGGCTCAGCTTTAGCTATTACACCTTACCCTGGAAAGCAGGACCTGCGAGTCTTAGAAGGAAATCCCCAGCCCGCTACCCAGTCACGCTCTGGTTCCACGTTGCCATTTCTAACTCTATAAAACTCCCTCTTGTCCAAAATCTCTCAGGAAGAGGGTTTCACAACTGGCAAGGTGCTGTTCTCCTTGAATAAGGGACAGAAAACTCATTACTAAATCATTTTCATTTTGTTATCTAATGAGAAAGTTACGAAGGGGAACAGAATATGACACTCCAAAATATGCCGCTCTGACATGTGGGTTGTTTTGGCCTGAAGGCAATGAAGACACAGCAGACCCTGAAAGCTCTATGAGTCTCAGTTAACTGCCTAAAAGAATTTAGATAAAGTACTTGCAGCAGGAAGAGTTATTACCAGAGGTAACTTTTCTTTAAGACGGTAATCTAGGGTTCTACTGGCGTCATAGTCCAACGTACGTTTCTTTTTAAAATTAATACATTTTCATTTTTGGCTATGCTGGGTCTTTGTTACTGCACACGAGCTTTCTCTAGCTGTAGTGAGAGGGG